AACCTACTAAGAAGTAGTAGTCGTAGTTCCTAATAGGTTATAGAGGCACCATAAGTGTAGGGAGCTCATAAGTATAAAAGAGTGTCTTTAGTTGGGTCTTCATTTTTAACGAACCCCGAAAACAATAGCACAATTCAATGGGTTGAGAATCCGGCGTTGACACTATACCAAAACATTTAAGGTTTTTCAAATAGATAAATCTCAAAATACCTATTCTATTTACTTCATTTGCTTTAACAAGTTGAGACAGTAACTCAATAGTAAACTATCGATTACTATCGCTAAACCACAGTCGAGATCAATTCCAGTCAATTGAACTTCAACAGTTTGAGTCTATTCAGTTAGAAAAATTGTCTATAAAATCTTGTTGGACTAATAATCGGTCGTAAGCATGATTATCGAGATGAGGGTACCGAATACCGACTTGGATTTTTCAATAATTCCTAGTAGGTAATATCATGAAGTACAGTAATGGAGTCAGAAATTAGGTATATTGTATAGACGCTCAACCCCGATTACACGGGACTCATTCATAATTTGAGGGATACCTAATTGGGAAGAAGTGGGTGTTACATTGTATAATACTTTTTTTTGAGAGGAATAATAATCATTAAATGATTCCTCTTGGGCATTTGATTGGATTCTTACGGGGATTCTAAAACGGGGATCCGGAGAACCTGACCCTGGAAATGGTCAGGATGTCCCATGTGGGGACAACGATAATCTACAATCAGGCTCGCCCATGATGTCTGCAGGATACATCTCTACATCTTCGAGGATTAACAAAAGCCTTTTAAAAAACCTGTCAACATTAGTAGACCACCGTAACCGTTACCGGTCTATAATTTATGTGAGATTATTTACAATGCGATTAACATCTTTTGAGTCGCAGTATCACGTGTCTGCTAGGACCACACCGGCGATATTTGGTTATAAAAAATCTTAGACACTTATAATTGTGATTTGTAATGAATTATGAATATTATGGCTACGTAGCTTTGTTGTATCTATGAGAGCCGGGCTCGGGTGTGTCGTGTGACTTTAGTAAAGCCTTTGATCAGCAGTGGACGTATTTTTATAAAGAATTTCGGGTTTAATTTTTATCGCTTAGCCATGATGTATGTAGTCCGGAGCTGCGGACAACTTCACGGGTTACCAGGGCGCCAGCTCAAGACAAGAGTAGGAACGGGTTGTGTTTAGTCAGTAAGAGTCTGACACTCCCACTCGCCTTGTTTAAGAAGTGATCGGAAGATTCTATCTCTCTCTATGTAGTTAGTGGTATAAGGCTGTATGACGTTGAAAAAAAGGCGGACACAGTCTCTTGAAACAACGACTGTGGCACTTGGCTACTATAGACTTACACGCAGAATACACACACATTGACACGCAGGATATCTGTCGCGTGACATGGCCCGTCATTACACTTCATACATTATGGTGTTGCAAGTAGACGCACTTAGAAATACACCACTGCAATTTTGGTGCTTCAATCATTTCCATACGATATTACCGTCCGCCTTTCTTTCAAAAGCCTTGCTTAAATATTTACACGTTCATAACTTAGTACTGAATGGGTGATATTGTCCATCTGGCTATAACATATCACCTATAACATATATTAGAGACTATGAACAAGAATCTAAGTGAAGATAATGCATTGCAGTTGTAAGAAAGAAAACAAAGAACATATTTTTATGAAACTCATCACCAACTTTTTACGTATATTTGTTTTTGGGATAAGCCGATAGACGAGCTGACGGTTCACCTGATGGTAAGCAATCAACGTCAACCATGGACATCGGAAACACCTGAGGCGTTACAAGTGCATTACATTAATTGGAAATTTGAGGATTGTTGGGGATGCGGGGATTGGGCAGACTGGGGAGGGAGAGAGACTAATTCGACCTCCGGTAACCTCACTCACACGTCGATATATAATGCAAGCGTTGTTTCACGTCGGTTTTTTATGAGGCCGTTGGTGTCGCTCCGATCGAGTCAGCATGGCTCTTCCAAACTTAAGAACACGTGAATACAAATTGACAGTATTTATAACCAATCCCTCACCAACTTTATATACCTCTATAGGCACTCAAGTCCAGTTTACAATATTCCGGGTTCACTATACATAATATAAAATTCAACGTATTTCTGCATACTACCTACTTATACGGTTTCGTCGCGAGCGCATTAAGGCTGTGACGTCACAGTTGCTCACGCTTATTTTTAGCTCTGACTTTTGGCACAAACAACTTTTGGATTTTCTTTACTCCTTTTTTAATACTGGTATTGGTTTAAACGGTAGTAAGTTTATAGGGATAGTGGTTATTTATGTTTGCTTTCAAGGAAGGTAATGCGTGCAAGTTTGTATTGGACGGGAGTGATAATAAGCTTGCGGGAATTTACGTGGGAACTTACGTTACGATGAAAGAAGCTCCTAAGAATCTTATTGGATTATTTCCTTGTGTACGTAATTTTACCAGAATTACCGATTAATGGATATGTATTCGCTAAATCTTACTATAATATCCTAAACAATTTGTAGATATTGCTGCTAACAGTTTATATCCCTGTATCATTCAAAAGTATGGTTAGTAGAGAATGCCCATGGCATTAGGTACACTTTGTATGCACGATTATTGTGCCTGAAGGATTTAAATAAATATCCTAAAGACTGTTACACTTAATTCTGCTTAGACTGGTGGCATGAATGATTTCAGTCTATTAATTACTTTTACAAAGTATCCAAAATATCATCATCATCATCATCATCAACAGCCTATAAATGCCCACTGCTGACCAAAGGCCTCTTCACACGGAATATGTTTGAGCATTGATCACCACGCTTGCTCACTGCGGGTTGGCGATTACAAACTTATAATTAGAAATTATAAGTCCAAGTTTCTTCTCGATGTTTACATTCACCGTTTGTCAGTGGTGTCTAGATAATCTCAGAAAGTACATATGACTCGGAAAAAGTCCCATTGGTACTTGCCGTTGTTAGTTTTCGAACCCGCACCCTCATGCATGAGTAGCATCTTAACCTCCGGGCCACCACGTCATTGTTCAAAATAGGTATATCCAAAAAATATATTGGTACTTAAACTGTCAAACACCGAGCGGTCATCGGTGACCGCAACCTATTGTTCTTTAATTGTGTCTATAATGACGGTATTCAAAGAGTTAAATCAGTATATTTATTAAATGAAGGTCTCAAACGTAAATCATATTTAAACGACATCTCCATAACTTTATAACTTAATAAAATGAAATTGATAAAACAAAATCTCCTGCAACACACGATTATGGCTTGACCTGATGCGAATTCACCAAATAGATACTCCATAATAAATGATAGATCATTAACCATCTCGAAATCATTAGCTATTGTATAGTTTTTGTTGCAGACCAGGACTTGGGGTGACTAACATGCGTAGGAGTCGAAAAATAAGTTCTTTGCTCGATAGGTACCTACTCCCCGTTATAATATGACGCCATTTTGTATTCATATCGGTTTAATATGGATCTGTATTGGTGATTTTGTTACAGTATTATGTGTGTTTTAAATTTTTTTCTAAATATGATGAGGTATATTCTAGTTACGAACACTTACGTATCAAAATCAAAGTCAAAGCATTTATTTCAATTAATCAGAATTGTCTGATTTGAATTGTCTATCAGTGAAGCTAGGCCGACAACCAATTAATTACCTAATTAGTTTTATTTGCATTCTGAGTGATCTTACAGTTAAATGCTAGGAGTAAATACCTACGATTGGGATGATGACAGGGTTTGAAAATTAAAAAATACTAATTAGTCCGTAAGGTTTTAAGGTAAAAATTAGTCGGTAATGAAAAAATATTAGACACGTATTTTTTTATTTTATCGTATGACAAAACAATACTTAGATAGAATGAATCGAAATGAATCGGGGTTAAAACGTCATTTCTACTTATAAAATGTACATAGAAGTGACGTCATGCAACATTTCAAATCAATATATCGTCGAAAGTATTCGTTTCTGTACGAAAATAAAAAATACGTGTCTAATGCTTTAAAATAATCTACCAGACGGACATTAAAATAAAAATTAGGCATCTACGCTATTTGAAAAGGAGTTAAGAAAACAGTCGATTGGCGATCATTTTCATTATTGTTAGGCCAATACTACCTCTATAATTACTATATAGCATTTGTTTGTAGCCTACAACCGATTAATGCTACAGAATAATCGAGCGCTAGAATAAAAAGCGCATCTCTATTTGCAAAATCATCAATCAGTTACTTTATTATGTACTGAGTTAAAATAAATAATCGAGGTGAATCAAATATGATTCGAAAAATCTATTACATAAATAATTTTGTTTTTATTCATCTTTGAAGTCGATAAATATGATTGTTCCCTAAACTTATCCTAAAAAATATGTCAGTCACACAAAAATGATTAATATATTCGTCTTTTATGATCACACGAGTACCTTTTGCGTATTTTTATTATATCTTTATATAATAACATTTTTGACAGCTTAATTATTAATAGTCTAACTGGTTTCTGCAACTTAACACAAAATCTGTAAACGGAATGTGAACCTTACATTTCAGTATTAAAGTTCATTTTATATTAAAATATCCCTACCTACCTCATAATATTAACTTATTTTTTCACATAATATGTATGCCTGGTACTACTACAAGTTGCTTTTCGTAATAACTCATAGAATTACCCATTATGTCGGGAGATACTGATCATTGTATTTTCGTCATTATTTGCTATTTATCATCAACGTACTACAAGATAAATTACTCGTCTAACTCAATATTTACTGGCCTTTAACCAATATCTATCCATCCATCTTTAAAATTAAAACGTTACTAAATAAGGATTTTGTAAAATTAACTAAGTATGGATAATATTTCAAAATTTGACCAATGCTAACTTGCTAATAAATTAATTAAGAATATAAAACGAATGAGATAGCTAAACATTCTAATTATTTTTGCAGATAAACCGCGCGCAACGCGTACCACATCATCTGACCAACCCAAGTCCATCAGAAAAGAACCATTCACACATTTATCAGAAAAGGAACTCATTGAAGAAGCTAACAAAGTACGCGCCCAGGCTGAAGGCATCACTTGTACTTCTGATCATCCACCTGAGAAGTTCTTCTCTTTACCACATAGAAGAAAAAAGGACAATAAGATCGGAAGAAGGAACAGCGACGAAGGTGCCCCTGAGAAAACTCCTCTAGGACGATCCACCAGTGATGTAAGCAACAAAAGGAGAAAAGAACGAACTTCACTATCTACGCTGTTCAGAAGAGCACAAAGTGGTAAAGGTTCTGATGTACCAGTTGTTGTTGCCACAAAACCTGTTGCAATTGTCCAGAGAAGTAAAAGTGACGTGTCCGATCTAAAGTCTAACACAACACTAACCACGCAGAACAAACCAATTCGTAAAAGATCGGGCAGCGAAACTGAGGAGTTCCTTAAGTCATTAAGAAATAAGAAGTCACAGTTATCACCCATCATAGAAAGTTCACCCAGAGAAGATTACTTCAAGAAAACGTCTCCCCTTGACCTGTACCAGAAACAAAATTCTGCTCAAAAAGAAAATAATTCTGAGAAGGAGAAAACAGAAAACAAAAAGGTTAATCCTGTTGAAAAGCCTCCTAGGTACAAAGCTCCTGAAAAACCTGAACCAAAAGCACCCTCTAGAGCTAAAAAGGGTAAATCACAAGAGAAGGAGAAAGAGAAATCACCACAAATCAGTGCCACACCTAAACGAAAAACTGATGTGAAAAAGACAATTCTTGTGGATGAAATTGACTCGACCAAAAGTAAAGACACAAATTCTGCTGATGTTAAAGACAGAATCAAAGATAGTATAAGGAAAATTGAAGAAAACGTTTATGGTGATAAAGAAATGATACATAGCAGTCAGCAACCGCCGGACAAACCGCCTTTGACTCGAGGGCATACTGTAGATCACTTGGTGAGAATTTTAAAGGAAGACCAATCGTCACCGCCACCTAAATCTCATTTGATTGCACCTCCCAACGGAACTAACGTAAATCAACCATTTTCTTACATCAAACCAAGTATCAGCCCTGATCCTAATCTTTTTGTGAGGAACACTAGTCCTGATAGAGTACCGTCACCAGTCAACAAGATGGATAAGGGGGTGGTGTATGCTCACGTGGTGAGAGATCACGACACACACATCAACAGATTAAACAAACAAACAGTACATAAAACTTATTCTCCGTCCAAAGAAAAGTATGGAAACTTCTCCGATGAAGATGAAGGTTTGGGCTATGAGGACAGACACAAGTTTGCTAAAACTCAAATGTATGACTATGATTACAAAAACAAGGAAAACGACAACTTCACTAACTTTGAACCGACCTACAATATCACTGATTCACCCATAAGGCCCAGGTTTAGGGAATACAAGCTGACCAGCTTTGAAGACTTTGAACCAACTTATGCCAATGAATATTCGCCAAAAGATAAGTCTCCTGATCTAAGTAATCAATATAGAGGAAGGGGAGACGGTATGGATACTAAAAAGAAACAATATGAGACAGAACCAACAAAGATTGATTTAGATTTCAATGAACTGAGCCATAGACGTCAGCTTTTGGAATCAAGATTAAATGCTCGAAGACTTGATAGAGAGCGAAATATTGAGGAACCCATATCGAGGTATTTACCTGAAGATCCGATATATGAAGCTGAAAAACGTATGCAAGCCACTGAGCGATACGTAAACGAAACAGTTCGTTACTATCGGAATACATTAGAAAGGGATGGTTTCGCTGAAAGCAGTGTTACTGAAGATTACAGTAAATATGATTCGGACAATAATAAAGTCAAATACAATACAGAAAGTAGAACCTTCCAAAAAGTTCCTAAAGGAGAACTTGATAGGCGTGAGTTCATTGATAAGTTGGAGCCTAGATACAAGAGTTCTAAAAAAGATTTCCCTCCAGAGCCTGAGTATGAGCCTCCAAGCTTGGATTCAAACACTGGCAAACCCTTACTCAGCCCTGATGAATATAAAGAGAAAAAATATAAAGCTAAAAAGCAACTTACTTCTAGTCATGATGTACTTCAAAGTGGACAAAAATATAAAGGCAAAGAATATTTCGGTAAGAGAAAAGGACATTACTCCTCCAATCCTGAGATTGCTCAAGAACGTGAAGAGGATTATGCGAATCTCCCAAAATATGCCGATTCATACCATTCACTGCGTCGAGTGAAGAACAAAGACAGATACAAGGAAGAGTTTGGCATGACACGACATGATTCTGGTGACAGTAGAGAGTACTACCGAGACGACAGATCACCTCGTCGCTTCGATATTGATAACAGACTAGTTGATTCTGGAATTGAAAATGACTTTAGGAAAGACTCAAGCGGAGAAATACATAGAACGAGACACAGGAGACATGAGAGTGACGATGACGTTAGGGACACCTCATTATTTTTGGCTAGTGAACGACAGCATACAGAAGATAACTATCCAGCTGAGCAAATATATGCTAACGGAGAGTATTTGGCAAGGTTCAAGGATTATAGGGATGACGGATATAGGAAGGACTACACGAGGCGAGATAGAAGTGCTGATGAAGGGTCACACTTTGAGCCAAAACATGAAAGATACGAGAAAAGTCCTAGTAGACTTGATGATAAAGTCAGTGCGAAACCGCCTAAGGCAAAAAAACTAACTGGACTTGAAAAGGTAATTTATCTACTTCATTTTTATTTGTAGAAAGACAATAATATGGTAGTTGTGAAACTAATATTTTAATTTGTTTTAAAAAGATGAAACAGCTGTTCTCTCGCGACTCTTCTAAGAAGAGCAAGAAAGAGAAGGAAGTAGTCCAGCCAAAGACTCGCACACGGGTGCTCAAGAGCCCTGAACATCTTGCCAGAGACGACTCCGAATACAGAAGGTAAGTTCATATTAGATATCAGATTTTAACCTACGGACTAGAGACATTCCACAAGGGCCCCGAATTATTGTGAGTCCGAGGGCTCTAGCGTAGTCTAAAACCATCTAAAACGGCCCTGGTTATAATAAATAATATGTACGTTTAGAATAGGGATAATGACAGGGTATGAAAATTAAAAACGTAATTAGTCCGTCAGTTAGATAATTAAAAAATATTAGACACGTATTTTTTTATTTTGTTGTATAATTAAATGATACTTAGATATAACGAATCAAAGTTTAGGAGTGGGGGCTAAAACGTCATTTCTACTTATAAAATGTACATAGAAGTGACGTCACGCGACATTTGAAATCAATTTATCGCAGAAACTATTCGTCTCCGTAAAAAAATTAAAAATACGTGTCTAATGTTTTAAGACGGACATTAAAATAAAAATTAGTCATCTACCCTATTATCTACTTTCCTAATTTTGCATTCTACCGTGTGTTTTGTACCGTACCGCTTTGCGACAGTTGCTCATGTAGGACGGAGTAAGGAGCGGCATGAATCACGTGGGATTTTCATGTCACTTGTATTGTTGTTATCAGATGAAAGTTGTGACCTGATTGTGTTGTTTTAGTTTATCTAGTTTTGTTTTATTCTAAGGTAAGATAGTTACTTAGAATAGACAACATGACATTTCGTTTTAGTATGCACAAAGACTTATGTTGCTTTAACAATTATGGGGGTACTTTGGATGTCGTATGACTAAGTAATAATTTGTTACAGAAGAAACTTGATCTTAAGAAATCTTTTCTGATATTAAAAACATAAATATCTCTTTGTTTATTTTCATAGAATACACTTCGAAAAATCTTACTCCGTTAGACAGCTAACTCTCAATAATAAAGACTACATTTCATTACGATATTACTTTATGACTGGGATTCACATAGAAACGTTCTAAATTCCAGCGATCACTAGTACCAGGCGGAAAATGAGTGTTAGTAATAGTTTTGGTGTAAAAAATACCCATTTTTGTGGAGTGAAAAATCATCTAATGACTTCGCCCGGCTTAGGTCGATTCTTATGTCTAATACCACTCTGTTCTTACTCCCACTCTTCGAGCCGGAGCCCCGGCATCTTGTTAAGTCCTTCGCGGCTCTCCGTCAGTCGATACCACCCTAGTAGATAGTCCCTACTGGCCCTATCTGTGGTGGCATCGCGCAAGAAAAAACCGAGCAAAGCTTGGTCATCCAGTTACTAATATTAATATAGATACAAATGTACTTCATGGTATGTGACGTCATTGCAATGTTAGCCTATATGACATTGAGCAAATACAAGTAGTTTATATGCTTACACAAATAGTCGTTACTTAGATATTCTAAGTAGAATGAGTCATATCAAATGCATCAATTTATAAGAGGAAAACTTTTGTGTGAAGATGCAGTCATCACGCTTCGTAGCAGGTTAACAAAATAGGGTTTTGTATCGGATTACTAATATACTTTCTTAATGACTTCATCCAATGACTTTGTAAATAAATAAAGATTAAAAAAAAAAAAAAAATCCGATGACTTCTATTACTCATATCCAGTTTTGCCTTGTTAGTTAGTAGTGATAGAGATAAGGATGTCAGATATCATAACCCCGATACGGAGCCGTGAAGAACCTAACGAGTTGCCGGGACTCGAAGAGCAGTAGTAGGAATGGGGTGATTTTTAGTCACTAATAGTCTGAAAATCCCTGTTGTTTAATCCAAGGCGGGAGAAGTAACTGGATGATTTTCCCCGCTCATAAAAAGGATATCATATCTATGTTGCATAAAATTTTATTGGTGATATATTTTCAGGGTCATTCCGAATGGAATTGTTCTTAGTGTATATCAAAACGGTCAGTCAGTGTTACAGCAATGAGCCGCGGAAGACTTAACGGGTTGCTGGGGCTCCGGCTCAAAGTGCAGGAGTAGGAACGGGGTGGTTTTAAGTCAGTCAGAGTCAGACACTCCCTCTCGCCTCATCCGGGCGGGAGAAGTCATTCGATGATTTTCCCCCTCAAAAAAAGTCTTATGGCAATTGGATCAATGATTATGTCCTAAAATGTAAAATTCATATATATGACAATTTCTTCAGGGAACAAAGGATGTAATATGATTTGTTGATATTGTTATATTAGTAAGTAAATACCTTTTCAAACTCAGGTACACCGACCCAGAACCAAGTGATATCATAGTGAAGAAAATCGACTATGAATGCAAGGCAGACGAGCGAAGGTACAGAAACTCCAGGGAAGATCTGGACAGGCAAAGGAGCTCCAGGGAAGAACTAGACAGGCACAGGAGCTCCAGGGAAGAACTAGACAGGCACAGGAGCTCCAGGGAAGAACTGGACAGGCACAGAAGCTCCAGGGAAGATCTGAACAGGTACAGGAGCTCAGACCCTCGAGACAGCGACCCTGAGAGGAAATATAGAGAAGATTATGATGGAAGGTGAGTCTATTGAACTCTCTTTATCTTTAAGAGCATATGAAATATTTCTTCAAGTAATCAAATATTTATTGCATCCATAATGTACATACACATACAGGTGGTTAGGTTACAAATAATATAAGTTCGTTTAAGATTTTACCTCTTTAGAGTACTGGGTTAGTTTCAGTTTAGAGAAATGGGTAATATTTTGTCAGCAGTGTGTGTCGTGTCATGTTTATTAACAAGGCGGCTAGTATATCACTGTAATGTTGCCTGGCATAGTTTACAATATAGCCACTGATTGCAGCCACAATATTACCTGCATCGAAGCACCTTTAGTTATTTTATTTTTTTGTATCATCACCATCACTAGTCAACATCAACCATGTTACCTCAACAACTGAACAAATCCTTAATCCCCATTTTTGACGGTTAGGACGATCACAGTTAGATTACTAAAATACTGCTGTCTGTTCCTCAGTCAGCTTTAACCTTAAGGCTGTGCCTAAGGTATATCTACTTCCGGGCCCTAATCGAGTTACGATTGAATTATATTCTAAAATAAATACTCTTCCAGATACGACAAGACCCTAAAAGAAGAAAGAAGATACAAAGAACGTAAAGAGGAAAAGAGACGGTACCATTCGTCGGATAGAGAGAGTGACAGGCAGTCGAGACCTTCTGACGGAGAGAGTGATTTGAGGAAGTCGAGATCCAGACCTTTGGACTCACCCGCTTTGGTAAGTAGGCTTCATACTTTCTTTTAAACCAGGAGTCGCTGACAGGATAATTGTCTTACAAACTACGTTTAATAAAGCCGACTACCACCTCTTTTTTGGAATTCGATAAAATAATATATTAAAACCATTTCCGATATGTCGTAGTTACAAGAAGGTAACGTAAGGTTGCGCGCGCGCGCTCGGCGTTGTCGGCTGCGAGTCGTGTGGTTCCCGGAATTGTTTATACCTACCTATTTTTTGCGAACACGCAGAGGTTCGGAGTATTGATAATCATGGTGCAGTGTAAGAAATGTAATAAGTTTGTGGCTGCGGCCAGGGACGAGATTGTAAAGTGTAAGGGGACATGTGATGCCGTTTATCATAGGAAGTGCGCGGCAAAATTAACATTTAAAGACGAAAAATGTGAAGATTGTGTTTCTTCGCCTGGATTCGAGTCTCCTAGTTCTGAAGATTCCAACATCAGAAGCATTCTAGCGGAAATGAACAAGAAAATGGAGATTATGTTCAACATGGAGAAGAAACTCAGCGAGTTGACGGAACTAGTCGATTTCATTTCCGAAAAATATGACAAGATGTGTGATCTTCAATCTCTAAGTGAAAAAAAGATGAGAGCGTTAGAGAACAAGAATGCGTATTTAGAAAAATGCAATAAATCGCTAGAAGAACGTATTAATGAGATAGAAGAGAAAGACAAAGAAAAAAAGGTGGAATTATCTGGCTTAGAGAAGAATAGCAACGACGACATATCAAAGGTCGTAACCCAGATCGCTCAGAAACTTCAATTGAACCCCGGTGATATTGAGCATGTTGAGAGGGTGGGTCGAGAAAAACCCGGGTCGGAGAAACCACTTCCAGTAGTGGTTACCTTAAAGTCAAAGCTTGCTCGTAATAATTGGCTTGAATTGCGTAAGAGTGTAATAACAAATGGTCAAATATATGGCACAAATAATAACAACCGTGTTTACATAAATGAAAACTTAACTCGATATAAAAGAAGTCTATTGTGGGCTACAAAATTACAACTTAAAAAAACATATAAATATATTTGGGTTCAAGATGGCAAGATACTCATAAGAAAAAGCGATGATCAGAAAAAAATCATGTCGATTCGATGCGAAAGCGATATCGAAAAACTACTAAATAATGATGTATCTGGGCAGGCCTAACCGTTCACCGACAGCACACAGCCGAGCACAAGTAGTGCGGAGTACACACTGCGTGATCACTTCTATGGCTAGTAATGGATAGATTTGACACAATTGTTGCACTGGAATGTCAATATGATCGTCATCTAAATTTAAGTAACTGGACGCAAAATATATCGAGCAATGCTAAAGAATTACGAGTGTTGCATTTAAATATCCGTTCACTTAGAAAACACTTTAATGAATTACTTGTGATATTGAAAGACCATACAGAATACATAGATGTGTTGGTACTGTCCGAAGTTAATATTAAAGAAGAAGAGGTTCCATTGTACTATATACAGGGGTACAATGTAGCTACTAACACAAGAGAAAAAACTAGAGGAGGAGGATTGTTAATCTACATAAAAGATGACTTCACTTTTGTTGAAAAAACATCTCGAATCAGTTCCGCAGAAATCTTACATCTTACATTGAAAATGAATATAACTATCTTAAATATAATCGCAGTTTATAGACCACCAAGGACAAGCAAACTGCAGTTTATTTCGGAAATTGACGAGATTATAAAGAAAATACCGAGTAACGAAAGTGTTATCATTGTGGGCGACATCAATATAAACTTATTCGGGGTAAGTGACGTATGTCATGCATCGAAGTACAAGGACTGTTTGTGTGAACTAGGCCTAATGTGTGTTATACCGGACACCGAGGTAACGCGGGAGGCGATCGTCGCGGGTGTGAGAGAGACGTCATGCATCGACCACGTGTGGGTGCGAGCGAGACAGCTGCGGGAGTGCGCGTCGTTTGTGATTGAGTGTTATATATCCGATCATCATATGATTGGGGTTGCATTTCCTATAGAAAATAACCCAAATGTGGACGATGCACGTTTGGCGGGTCGGAAAGTAATTAATAATAAATTAGTTTATAGGAAAATATGTGATTATAACTGGTCTCAAATGTTGGGTATCGATTGTCCGTTAGAGCTATACGATAGGATATATAATGTATTCAATAAGATTTACAGTGATAGTCAAATTGTTGTACCAAATACTAAAAAACGAACATCACAGCCATGGGTAGGAGAAGTATTGAAAAATATGTTAATGCGGAGGGATCAATTATTCAGAGAATGGAAGGTAGATCCTAATAATAATACGAAGAGATTAGAATACACGCGGTACAGAAATAGGGTTAATAAAACAATATTCAAGGAAAAAAATAAACACAAACAGGAAGAAATTAAAAAGTGCAATGGAAATCCTAAAAGAATATGGGAAAAAATTAATTGTTGGTTAGGAAAAAGAAAAACTAATATTGATAGTATAGTTACTAAGTATTTAGGAAGTAGTGATACAATGTATAATGTATGTAATAAGTTTGCAGATACATTTACTCAAGAAATTGTTAATATTAAGCATAGTTGTAACACAAAGTTCCTAGATAGATCTCATTATGTTAAACCAAGTAATGTAACATTCCGCTATATGCCAGTGGGGAGTGACACAGTATCTAAAGTCATTGACAACCTCAGCAACGAGAAGGCGCCAGCATAGACTGTATTAGAACTATCGATCTTAATCAATAAAAAAGCAACTATCACCTGTTTTGGCACACTTTGTCAACATGTGTTTGACCAGGGGACAATACCTGGCCTACTCAAGAAAGCCTTAATAAGACCTATATTTAAACAGGGAGTCCATACTGATTATTCCAACTATAGACCATTGCTATCTATCAGTAATTAATAAAATAGTAGAAAAAAATTATCGTAGGTCAGGTCAGTGGGTTCCTGGAACAGCACACGTTAATTTCAGATACTCAGCACGGTTTCAGGTGCGGTCGCAGTACTGCAACAGCATTGGCAGGGTTCTCCGAATATATAAATGACAGGTTGGACCAGGGTCACCAAATTCTAGCTCTTTTTATAGATTATAAAAGGCGTTCGATACGTTAGACCATGAGGTGCTGCTTCGGGCAATGGATGATTGTGGAATCAGGGGGCCACTAACACTTGGTTCCGTACATACTAAGCGAAAGAACTATTCAGACTAGTATAGCGGGTACCACAGGACAAGAAGCTGGGGTTGCTCTGGGCGTGCCGACCGGATCCGTGTTCGGGCCAGTTGGCTACATCATGCACGTGAACAGCGTTGCAAATGTAGTTAAAAAATGTCAAGTTTATATGTACGCTGATGATATGTGCTTACTATATTCCTCCAAAAACATACATGAAGCTAGAACCGTAATACAGGAGGATTTCATTAACATCACCAAATGGGCGCATGATAATGGAATTATCCTGAACGTAACAAAACTAAAATAATACACATACATTCACCTCACAATTTAGTAGCAAAAAGAATTAATAGTTTAGTATAGGTATACAGGGTCATACATATGAATGCTTGCATGCAAATAATATTAGTTGTGTTTGTCAAAATATAGAATATGTTAAAACATTTAAATACCTGGGGCTGTGGGTGGACAGTAACGCTAACTGGCGGACGCATGTTGGCACTGTGTGCACAAAGCTTAGAACAGTTTTGAGTAAGTTCTATGCACTACAAGCGCCTTTAAGTATACAAACATTACGTACAGTTTATTTTGCTCTAGTCAATCGTTGATAGGTTACGGACTAAGTGTCTATGGACGCATTTTAAGACTTATTTAGACAGCATTAAATCCCTACAAATCCGCTTCCTTAAGTTTCTAGTATCACCTAAAGTTAGACGTAAATGTGAAGAAAACTATGAGAGACTACATTCCATGCAAAATACTTCCTGTTCACGACCGGGCCAGATACTTGTTGATTCTTGAGCAATTTTATAGTGAACAAAAAAAAGAAAAAGTTGCAAACAAATATAACACAAGACGTGTGAGAGAAAATAAGTTAGTCCGGCCGACGATAAACAATTATTATGGAAAAAGAACCAACAGGTACATGGTTCCGACGTTGTACAACGATATTGATTTGTTAAGGCACATAAACAATACAATTAGTAAACAATCCTTAAAATATAAGCTAAAGACTGTGTTACTTACCGAATTTGCCAAAAATTTTAGTTAATGTTAATTGCTTGTTAGCTGTTTATATAAATTAATGTTAGCTGTTGATATAAATTATTTCACATAATTATGTTTGTTAGTATAAGATAACACCGTTTTTGTTAAGGACAAGTTTGATCCGAGGTTTTGTTTGTTTAGTATGTAGGTATAGTAGTAAGTATAGTTAGTGTAAGGTAGTTATGAATATCGAGCGCTATTCCCGCCGTCAAACTGTCATAGCAGTTTGGTGGGTATATGTATTGTATTTTTTTTTTTGTATAAAACCAATAAAGAATTAATTATAAAAAAAAAAAAAAAAGATGTAAATAAATATGTAAAAGTTACTTATCTTACTCAAAAACTTGATCAAAGTAGTCATATACTCTCTTGACATTTCAAATTCATTTAATGTCTCATAACATAATATCTGCAGGCAAAATTCACAAAGCGTGAATATAAATTGGCCATTGCATAGTGTTAATTGGGGCTACGTCCAAGCATCAGCTTGCAATGCGGAACTGAAGGAATCGTCATTCACAGCACGGTGCTCCGCGCTGACCTATCGATGGTAAAGGTCACCGCCGGTTCAATATGAACCACTACTATTTGTTGCATACTCACTCACAAAAGATTGTATAATAGGTACATGTTCATCTAATTTGTTTATGAGGTAGTCTTACAATGTTTTGGTCAATAAATAGGTACTTATTACAACTGTTTCATGGGACTCATATCATAAATAGTGAAAAGTAGGTATTACATTGTACAGTGGCATTAACTCGTCGAGTACCGGTTTTATAGACA